AGCACTGCGCCATTATCTTAAAAGAACGGCCCCCTTTCGCAAATCGGAGGCGTTGTTTGTGTCTTTCCGCCTAGGCTCCAAGGGACAGAAGGTTACCTCTTCTACGATCGCCAGGTGGATCAAGGCCTGTATAGCTCAGGCTTACCGGGTCTATTCCTTATCTGTCCCAGGTCAACTAACAGCCCACTCTACTCGTAGCGCTTCCACTTCAGCGGCTTGGCAGACTCAGGCTTCCATATCTGACATCTGTAGGGCAGCGACCTGGTCATCTCCCTCACCTTTCATTCGGCACTACAAGCTCGATACGTTTGCATCTGCTGAGGCCGCGTTTGGCCGCCGGGTTTTGCAGCAGGTGGTTCAATTTAATGATGACACTTAACTGGCCTGCATCCCTCCCATGGGACCATAAGGGCTTTGGTATGTCCCATCCGTGGAGTCTACATTCCTCCATTTGCTGGAGAAGGGGCGTTGTCTTACCTGAACGCCTTTTCTCAGCAAAGAGGAATGTAGAATCCACTCCCTCCCTATTCAGTTAGCAGTCAGGTCAGTGTCAATTTTTCAGGAGCCATCACGTCGTACAGAACAATCACTGGCTTCGCCCTTTTCGAAACTGGGGCATGCTCAGACCCTGAAGGGGCGTGGCGACTTTGATTGTTTTGGTCTGATTGGGCTAGAGGACAATTAACACCCATCCGTGGATTCTACATTCCTCTTTGCTGAGAAAAGGCGTTCAGGTAAGACAACGCCCCTTCTGTTCTTTATTTTTAGACTTGCATCCTAGGGTTACCCTAGAGATCATTAAAAGAAACCCACAACCTTTTTATTTAAAAATAAATTTATTTTAATGAAATTGCGCTTGATTACATTTTGTGTCCCAACTTCTGCTGTCTATTTACTAAGTAAAGAAGAAAATGATTTGTTGTATTATTTTTCTGACCATGGGAGAGTAATTTGCTCAAAAATAAAAACATAATCAAATGTGGATTGTTATCTTAAATAATATGACAACCACATGTAAAAAACCCTCTATTTTCATAAGAGTTGTGTCTGCATAATATGCCAAGGACTGCCAGATGCTTTCCTTCACTCTGGACTCCAGATGTTATGCTCTAATTCATCTCACTCACACACACAAACTGAGGGCCTGTTCCCATAACCTACTTAGTGTTAGTGTGTTGTAGAAGTTCTGCAAACATACTTAATCATCCAGGAGCTTACACAAATTCTACCCAGTCATATGGTATCTAAACCAAGGCATCAGACCCATTTTATATATCTAGTCTTCCAAGAAAACATATAAAGCAGCTGAAAAAGCAAGCCTCTCAGCTACAGAAATCACTGCTGAAGATTAGCATTAGTATAGAGTACACTTCCTATACCCTGACTGGTATCCCTAGCAAAGTTATGCTTATTGCTCTGCATCTGGGAAGATTCTAACAAGTTCATGAAGCCTTGCCAATACTCTCCTGGTACAAGGATTCAATAATGTTATCTGAAAAAATATAGAGAGTACCTGTATTCCCCTAGTAGGATTCTTGTTAGGAGTGTGCACTGTGAAAACCATTGCTAAAGAAATTGGATTTGCAGTTGCCTGGGTTAAGCATTGTTGAAGGAAAAGTCTTCATCGGGGTCCAGCCCAAGCTGGGAATAAACAACATGGTGACTGCTTTAGAAAGAAGGTTATATTTTATTGAAGAAGAGAAGAGCCAGACAGAAAGATGGCTCTGGAAGAAAAAAGAGAGAGCACATGTAGGGTTTTTATACCCTCTGGGGCTCTTGAGGTTGCTTCCTGTTCCTGTTTGAGGCTTTGTATTTCCTGTGTCATGTACTTTGGCCTGAGTCTGCCCCTTTGGCATCTGTGGGTTAATCCTATTATGTTCTGTCCTAGAGTTTGGGTGGGGTATGTCTTTGTCTTCCTAAGCTTCTAGCTGGAGGGCTCCAACTTTCCTGAATGGATTATTACATCTGCATTTCTACAGAGCTGGTTTCTGCTTGGGGGAGGGAGACTTGGGGCTATTAAGAAAAACTGGGCATGCTTTTCTGCCTCTTTAAGATCCTTGGAGGAAATATAATATTCTGCCCTTTTAATATTTCCTTCTCTGGGAGCGGGGGCTGACTTCCCACAGCATGTTGTGAGAATGGCCTTGTAGTGCATTAATGGAGTATATCAGTGATGGCAAACCTTTTAGAGACCAAGTGCTCAAACTGCAACCCAAACTCCACTTATTTATCGTCAGGTGCTGGGTGGGCATGGCCCACTGGGTGTGGCTGCAGTGGTCATGGCAGACTGAGTAGGCGTGGCCAGGGTGGGTGTAGCCACTTCGATGTTGCTCGTGGGGACACCTGTGGGGACTGGGCATGGTTGGGGGAGATCCAGGGGGTCTTGTCCTGCGGGGTGAGGCAAGCCAAGGCAGGGGGCAGGGCAGGGGTACCATTTCCATTCAGCATTTTTTGCAGATGTCTCATGACCCAAACTAGGTAACATCAGCAGTGCCAGAAGAGAATGGGGTTTGTGGAATGGAGAAGAAAAGAAGAGGAGGGCAGTTGTGGGTTCCTTAGTCCTCTCTCAGTTTTGTGGCTTTCTTGTAGACGTCTCATGACCCAAACTAGGTAATATCATTAGTTCACTTATTATCCCACTTTGTTTCCTGAAATGTCTGCAAGAAAACCACCATCCTCAGAGACACCCAAGGACTCTTCATTTTAACTCTGAGCCAGAAATATTCTCCTTGATTGGCATTCCGGACCGTCTCAGGGCAGAAGAACCTGCCTGGCAGGACCTCATTCCTCTTTCCCATGGGGCACATCTCAATGTTCCCATCCTTCCTCCACCATTTCCTGGACCCTAAAGGCCAATGAAGTTTCTCTCAACCACAAGCACCAGCACTCCTGGTTCTTCCGAGCTGCTCCACCACCTCCTGCTTTGCCTACCTCTCAGGGCTTCACCTGGATGCGGCACACACACACACCCGTTCATGGATCGGGATGCTCCTCCAAAGGCCGGCTGCATCCTCCCTCCCAGTGGCTCCCCTGACCTTTCATCACCTTAGCTCCACACAACCCCTCACAACCCCAAAATAACCTTCCAGGAGCAAATTCTCCTCCTTTTTTCACTCACCCCGGCCACCCCTCACAAATACCTCAGACTTCGCCCGCTCCCCTCAGACTCTTAACCGGCACCCCACTCCAGCAGCCCCATTCCAACCACTGGTGGGGCTGGGTCCCTTGGTGATGGTGGGGGTGATGTTGAGGGCTGGTGGCACCAGTTTCCTTTTGGCCGGCATGGCGGCAACAGCAGCCATGGTGGAGGCTTGGCTCGCGTTCCGTAGTGCCTAGCGAGGGACCCGCCTCAGAAGCAGCAGCAGCAGTGGCATTGTCATCACCAGGCTTGGCTTCCCTAAGCGAGGCCGAGGCTGCAAGCAAGGCCTAAACCTCTCAGCCCGGCCCTGAGGTAAAAACATGAATAGGCGAGAGGAGGAGAGGAAGGGTGCGTGGCCAAAGTGCAAGTGCGCTCTTGGTCGCATGAAGGAGAAACTGGGAAAAAGAATCTTCTCCCACCAACTCGCCATCCCACCACTGGCTGGGGGTCTCGCCACCATCCCCCCACCCGCTCCTCGTGATTGGACAGCTTGCCCGGGAGGTTGAGGGAGGCTAGATAAAAAGACAGGTTGGGCCGTAATTTGAGGACCCTGAGCTACAGCTTTGGTGGCTCTGTAGGCAGAGCTGCAAAATTCTCTTCTCTGACAGAGAACTTTGCAACTCTGCCTACAGAGCCACCAAAGCAGCAGGTGGAACGCTGGAGGCTCAGGGAGGGAGGGTGCTGAAGTGGGCAGTCGGGCCATTGGAAGAGCAATGCGTCTGAGTGGAAACGGCATGGGGCTGGGACTCAGGTACGGAAAGAAAGGCAATTTCTGGGGGGAGTGAGGATTTCTTTCCTTACCTGCCCCACTTGTTCTGAGGCCACTTTCACTTAGACACGTTGCTCTTGCCAATGGCCCGACCGCCCACTTCAGCACCCTCCCTCCCCAAGCCTCCGTGCTCCACCTGCTGCTTTGGTCGACCTGCCAGTCCCTATCTCAAAATCCTGGCCACTGCCGCCCAGCACGGCCATCCCAGGGCTGCAGGGGCTGGCCTGGCATAGGAAGGGCATGCACCCCACCCTCTCACCACCATACAGGGTAACGTTGCCACACCTGCCCCCACCCAGATGCCCTTGCCTCCCCCAAGTGTTTTTTTTACTAACCTGCCTTTCAGCTGCATTCCGTTTCTCCGTTCGCTTCTCAGCCTTCGCCGCGTGTTTGTGGGACTATCGGTAAAAAAAAAAAGTTCCATCAGACTTTCTAACTTCTTGAGATCTCGCGAGAAGTTAGAAAGTCTGATGGAACTTTTTTTTTTTTACCAATAGTTCCACAAACATGCGGCGAAGGCTGAGAAGTGAACGGAGAAACGGAATGCAGCTGAATGGCAGGTTAGTAAAAAAAATGTTTAGGGGAGGCAGGGGTGGAGCAGCAACCTTACCCTGCATGGGTATTGATGCAGGTTGCTCATGGACGGGACTGAAGGCCTAGGACTGGGGCGATGGTGTGCATGCCCACAAAGAGGGCTCTGCATGCCACCTGTGTGGCACACGTGCCATAAGTTCGCCACCACAGCCCTAGCCTGCCTGGCCTCGGGTTCTCAAAACTTGTGAAGGTAACTGAGTATCATAAGCCACCTCGCTGTCAAGTATAGAGGGATAATGAAGACTGGATCAACTTTAGCAGTTTCAAGCAGCCATTATGGTCACAGGGAGTTTTAATGGTCACAGGGAGTTTAACCAGCACCAGCACCACCACCACTTGAGAATGTAACTGAGAATTTGGGGCTTTTTTTCTACAAGTAATGCAGATACATAATGCAAATACAGATGTAGTGCATATTTTGTTGTGTTCTCAACAAATTAAACCCAAAAATATTTCTAAGGAAGGGTTGAAATAACTGATGTGATTATATTTATATTAAAATGTGCACCAAAGGCCTGACACACTATTACATGATCATGCATTGCTGTGTGTGGTTAGCAAACACAGCACTTCCAACAGACTTTTAAACTCTAGTCTCCTTCCTCTTCGTAGCCACAAATCTCCGTTTTCTACTCAAGACTGCCTCAAAGCTATGTGAACGTGGACGGATCTTCATTTCTGTGTAAGGGATAGAATATAAATGGCCTTTCCATGGCTCCCAGTTAATTCCCTGGAAAGGGGAAAAAATAGGACATTAGAGAGCTTGTTAGATCAAGCTTTTCAATCTATAAACAAATATGCAAAATCGTATTCATAGCAATAATACAAAATTATATATCAATATTCAACTATTATTAGGGCTTTGTGGTTTTTGCATATGAACTTTGTGTAAAAAAATCTTTTAAGACAGACTGCTAAATTGTCTCATTTAATCCAGTAACAACTATAATTACATGGTACTTCACATAAATTACTTTGTGATTAAGGATGTGCAGCCCTTCCACAAGGATCGGTATCCCTTAATGAAGCAGCATCTTTGCTTGGGCTCACTGTCATACAGTCCCAGGAAAGTGCACATTTGAGATAGGTGGATAAAAATGGCAAATCCAGTCTGGTTGACTGTGCAATGAACCATAATAATAACACTCAATGCATATGAAGGCCACCACAAGTTAAAGAATATGATTTCATTTTTGTATACATAATAGTAGGACCTTCACAGTCTGAACATCTTAACCTTCAGTATCTTCTAACAAGTGACATGCAGGGATCAAAATGAAAAAGCTTGACTGTCAACTACCATACATCATGTATGATATTACAGGCATCTTTTTGACTTTGAGGGATAAAAGTCATGATTGAAATGCAGCAAAGAAAGGCAATGTGGTTTAGTGGCCAAGATGTTATATAGACTATGATGGGAGAAGCCAGCTTTGAAAATTTAACAAGCAGATGATTGTATATTAAGAAGTATCTCAACAAACTGAAGCATCTGAAACAAATGAAGATCACTAGACTGGAAAGATCTGATTTGAATGTAATTAAACAGTGTGACATAATAGCTAAAAGCATTAATGTAGACTTCTGGTTCCGGGTCGTGGCGTGTGCAGTCGTACAAAGAGACTCCTCTCTTCACTGGCTGCTTTCCCTCTGCCGGTAGACCCTTAATTGGGTCGAAACGTCACCTGGAGGGGCGACTACCGATGAGGAGGACTCTCGTCTATCACGGGGGGAGGCGGCAGCTCCTTCCGCGGTCCGAAGCAGCTCCTCAGGGCCGACAGAGAAAAGATCGGCCAGTAACATGGCCAATCATTTAGCTGCACCAGCCGAAAGTCAAAAGAACACCTAAGCGTCAAGAAACCACCGTGGATGATCCGGGTGAGACCTTTCCCTCTCTCTCTTTGCCCTAACTACTCTCCTGTTAAAAGCCTTCTGGAACTATTTCCCTGCTTTGAAAGAGCTGCCGTTGTCTATCTGGGAAAAAGAGCTTTAACAAAAGAAAAAGAAAAAGTTAACTTTTTATTGACTATTTTTATTTTTGGTCACTTTGGGGCCCTGGAAAAAGCCCTATCATAGAACTTTATTATTATATCTATTTTCTAAGCTGGAGAATATTGTTTTCCTATTTCTTGGATTTATTTTTTTAAAGGGATAAATCTTTATTGTTTGAAAAAAAAAACTTTATTGGAAGCCGGAAAAGAGATTTCGCAGCTTACTGAGGGCATCTTGTGGCAAAAACTATTACTGCAACTACATTTCCTCTTTGTTTTTTGGGTTGGGTTTGACCTTCAAATGATGATAAAAGCGAAAAGATAAAGGATTTGAAACAGCCGGGTGGTGAAGTTGCTTACTAGTAATTGTGGAGGTGGATAAATGCTGACTGTTTGTATGTGTTGACTGTTAGTAAATATAGTCTCATCTAAAAAAGTAAATGGAGGAATTTCATCCACAGCTTGATTATGAACGTATATTAGAAGCAATTTTGGAAGCAACAGTATATATGAAATCCTGGAGAAACATTAAAGATGACATCTTTGAACCACAAATTGAATCTCAAATCCTAATGGATCAATCTACAGGCCAAGGAACTAGCTCTAGAGAGGCCTGTATGCAGCAATATACACAACTTAAAGAGACAGAGAAACAAGTCACTGAGCAAATGGATGTTAATCTACAATTTATGGAGAATTTTGAAAATCAAAGAACGACTCTAACTGAGACACTTGCAGTGTTAAAAGTAGCAGGAACTGACCCTCAGATACGAATTACTGAGAATAGTGACATCGTGGATAATCAACTTGTGACTATAACATGGAAACAAACCGTCTACACTATACAGATGATATTGGGAGAAGGGAAAGAGAACTCGGCCCAGATTGAAGTATTGATAAGTACCTTCACTCAAATATTGAGACTTGATGATATAGAAGCTCTATTATGGAAACTGGACTGGCACAGAAAGAAAGTCAGAGTTAGAGTTAAAAATGTGATTTAAAATTTTACTTGATGGGTAAATAAGACTTTAGAGATCTTGATTGAATAAAGATTAATCAGATATGTGAACTTAGTAAGAAAATGTTTTCTCTGTATTAATATGCTTGTTGTGGATATAACAATTATTTGGATCAAATTTAAACTTTATTGAGTGGGTTAAAAGAGTTTTTCATAGATATAGATTGATTGATAGATTACAGATTTAAAGTAGAGTAGAAATATATTTTTGGAGTAATATTCTTATTCTTAGGAAGGATAGCTATTTTGTAATGGAAGAAGAATAAGAGGGATTTCTGATAAAATAAGAAATGGTATTAATAAATGAATTACTAGATTAAAAAATAGAATACTTGTTGAAAATATAAGAATGTTATGGTTGAAATAATATGTGTATTTTAGAGATAAGGATTATGTTAAGGAAAAAGGGAAAGGAGGGATACCTGAAGTGTTAATAATATGTTTATCTAAAAGCCAAATTGGAATATGGTAATTGTAAATAGTAAAGCTTAAAAACAGGATTTGGATTTATACAGATGAAATGTTATTGATGATTGTTCTGATTGATTGAATTTTATTGAAAAATACATTAATTTGAATATATTATATTATCTGAGGGAAATAGAGAGGGAGTTTCTAATGATTTAATCTGAGTTATATATGTATGATTTTGTTTTTGCATGATCGATTACCCCATCACCACATTGTTTCTCAAGCACCTTGTTGTAAAAAAATCAATAAAACTTGTTTTAAAAAAAGCATTAATGTACTTGAGATGGGATTAACAGAAGCAGAGTGTTCAGTCAGAATATTTTTGTTTGGTTTTAATCAGGACATATTTGAGATGCTGTATCTACTTCTGAACACATTTTAAAAAGAACTTTTATTAACTAGAATATTTCTAGAAAAAAGCAACCAGGATGGTAAAAGAGCTGAAAATAAAGGAATGGAATTAAATCTATGAGGAATGGATGAAACAACTGAAATATTTTACAGAGTCCTATATTTTAGCAAAAATATATAATTGCTAACAGACCCAATCTCTTGCTTCAGAAGAACAAAGTTTACAACAATGGAAAGAAATCAAAAGGAGGTTGATTTCATAATGTTATAAGACACTTTCTAACAGGCAGACCTTGACTTACAACAGTTCATTTAGTGACCATTCAAAATTACAATGGCACTAAAAAATGTGACTTATGACCATTTTTCACAGTTATGACCTTTGCAGCATACTCATGATCATGTGACCAAAATTCAGATGCTTAGCAACCAGTTCATATTTATGACAATTGCAGTGTCCCAGTATCATGTGATTATCTTGTACCTTAGTTTCTAAGATGGCGGCACCTGGATCGACTGCGGCTGCATTGGCTCTCGAAGGTGAAAAGTTTTTGGAGGGATATTAAGGGATATAGGCCACGTGATCGGGAAGGTTTTAATGTGTTTGAGCAATGTGGTGGGACTAACATAACATACAACCGACAATGTACGCAATCTGGGTGTCCTCCTGGATCCACGGCTGACACTAGAAGATCAGTTGACGGCCGTGGCCAGGGGGGCGTTTTACCGGGTACGCCTGGTTCACCAGTTGCGACCTTTTCTGGACCGGGATGCCTTGCGCACAGTTACGCTCTTGTCACCTCCCGCCTGGACTACTGCAATGCTCTCTACATGGGGCTCCCCTTGAGGAGCACTCGGAGGCTCCAGTTAGTCCAGAATGCAGCCGCGCGAGCGGTGATGGGAGTGACTCGTCGCTCCCATGTAACGCCGCTGTTGCGCGAACTGCACTGGCTACCGGTGGCTTTTCGGGTGCGCTTCAAGGTGTT